TAACCTTACAACCGGAATGAAGAGCGTTGATCGACTGACATGGAGTGATTATGCTGGTGTTGTGTATGTTGATGATGATTATCTTTATGTTTGGGATATTAAGGAACATAATGAATGTAGCTTGAAAGTAAGCTAGAATAATTTATTTCCATTTAATCTCTATTCTAAAGTGGAACCGTCTATAAATTGACTGTTCAGTTTCATGTCGAAAATAGCCTTGAATGTCGACTTTGACGTCTATTGCAAATGGAGACGACCATTAACGACATTTCCAACTTGAATTTATTGTAGTATTACAAGTTTGGGGATGGTGAACATCACACGCAATTACTGCAAAATATTGACTACCAATGGGAGGAAGGATTAATGTGTAAAATAATGATGAATTATAACCCTCATAAGATTGAAAATTCGCCTCTTCGGATGAAGAAAAAAGAATTAGTTGATGTATGGGGAGAGAAAGATGCCGAAATGATTGATAAAGCAAGGGTAAGTCATAATGATCGCAGTGTCAATATGGAAATGAGTTGGAAGGAGGATGACAACGACTGTAATGAGTTGATTATGTAAGGAGCTCTACTCTAGTCCATAGCTGATCGTTACATTCCATTCAATTCATTATAGGGCAGGGATCTTTTGCTACTACTGGAAAATGGAGACCATATAGCAGTAAGATACAATCAATGTGACGTCGTCATTGTTGAACGTAGGTTGTGCTAATCATAAAATTCAATGCCTATAGATACTCAACCAACAAGAAAGAGGAAATTTACGCATGAAAAGATACAAAGACAATATCAAATACTTCAAGCCTCTCACACAATTCTTCAACCATGAAAATCTATGGTCGGACAAGCAGTTAATCCTATATGAAAAATACTCTAGTTTGAATATTTATAACCCCCAAACACTACAGCTACAAATCACTCTACCATTCCCTCACTTCCGGATATGGGACATGCAATGGAATCTTCAACACTCTCAACTCATCATCAGGAGTAGAAAGCATGATTACTGCTTAGTAACCCACGTGAAAAAGACATGATATTTGCATGAAATGTAAAGTTAATCTTGTATCTTGTACCCAATGCAATTTAACGAGAGTGACAATAAACTAAGTTAATATTGCTTCCATAATCTATGAAGATGATTGATGTGTATACTGTACAAATGGATAAAATATACCCCCAATGTTAGTAAAACCAATACCCAAAAATAAATATAGCAAAGCATGATTAAAAGTAGTCTATGTCAATGCAATTGCTGAGTTAGTTTAATGTCTATTACAAATCGTAGTCAAAGAGCGACTTGAAAGAGAAAATGAAAACATCCCTAACAAAACATTGGTAAAATAGGAGAACATAAAGATCAACATTGGGATGGAGAAAATGGATTGCAAAATTGCAGCCTATCTATCATTAAGCATCCCATCTAGTCTAAAGTAGATATTGATGACAGTCTTGTAATACTGTAGATGGCGATCTCTTCAGCTATTAATAAACTAAATCAACATCACCTCTATCAATGAAGATGATGGATGTGTGCTTTGTACAGATGGATAAAGTATACCCTAATGTCAGTAAAACCAATGCCCAAAAATAAATAATGCAAAACACCATTGCATATTCGTCCATGGGGAGAAACCTGATCGTTACATTCCATTCAATTCATTATAGAAAAATGAAAATTTTTTGCTACTACTGGAAAATGGAGACCATATAGCAGTAAGACAACGATAACTGCATACAATCAATGTGACGTCGTCATTGTTGAACGTAGGTTGTGCTAATCATAAAATTCAATGCCTATAGATACTCGACCTATTAGGATATTTACGCATGAAAAGATACAAAGACAATATCAAATACTTCGATAATTTCGCAACACAATTCTTCGACCATGAAAATCTATGGTCGGACAAGCAGTTAATCCTATATGAAAATCTATCTAGTTTGAGTATTTATGACCCCCAAACACTACAGCTACAAATCATTCTATCATTCAATTACTTCGATATAGAGGACATGCAATGGAATCTTCAACACTCTCAACTCATCATCAGAGGTAAATGGAATTACTGCTTAGTAACCCAAGTGAAAAAGACATGATATTTGCATGAAATGTAAAGTTAATCTTGTATCTTGTACCCAGTGCAATTTAACGAGAGTGACAATAAACTAAGTTAATATTGCTTCCATAATCAATGAAGATGATTGATGTGTATACTGTACAGATGGATAAAATATACCCCCAATGTCAGTAAAACCAATACCCAAAAATAAATATAGCAAAGCATGATTAANAGTAGTCTATGTCAATGCAATTGCT